AAAAAAAAAAAAAATCCTGGAAAGTTTCCAAAATTTCTGGAATGTTTCCAAAAATCCCTGGAATATAAAAAAAAAAAAAAATCCTGGAAAGTTTCCAAAATTTCTGGAATGTTTCCAAAATGTACTGGAAATTTTCCAACTTTTTGCAACCCTAAAATTGAGTCATCTGAACAAACAATTTTACACTGAACAATATTGCACAAGTTCCCAGCATGCATTGCAGCTTGAAAACATTTTGTTAATTATTATTAAAATATTATCATTGTTTTACATTTTACTGGCTTAATTTATGCTGCTGCTGCTGTTGTCACTGTAAGTTATCTGTCACGTGGATCAGAGTTCATATTTTTACTGATTTACTTGATCCTTATCATTGTGTTCTGAGGAATATGTGCTACTGCTGGACTTAATATATTTGTCTATCAGCATAAATGTTTGCCTTTAGTTTTAAGAGGCAAATACTACCAATATTATGCAGTGGGCTTTGAAAATAAACCTAAATCTAAAAAAAAAAAAAGAGGATTGTTAAAAAAAGATAGGCATTGCTAATTGCTAAAAAATCTTTGGTTGATCTGATAGATCTTTCAAAACTCAATAGACTGACTTTTATTCATTAGATGAACTAAAGTTTTTAAGTTGTCGGTTGCCAGTTGCGTTAACTTAAGTTGAGCGCGATAGGTTGCCTTGTTTTTTTGCGTTAGGTCAACTTTTTTTACCTGGTCAGGTAGAGGCAGACTTTAGCGTAGGCGTTTTCATCGATGTACGTGTCTAGCATGTCGAGCCGCTCGATTTCCATCAGGAGGTCACAGGCCTCGTGCTCGGCATTATGGGCCATGTTATACGGGACGATCTCTTTGACCAGCTTCAGCAGCACTTCCTGTTGAGCTTTATCGCCTTCCTCGATCTCCTGCCATTCCTTAGCCACCTCTCCTGCCAGATGCCTGCAAACACACACAAGATCCCATCACAGACTGCTTAGAAACCAGAAAGTTCCCACACAGCTCTTTTGAGCAACAGCTACGAGTCTAAGGGAAGTTTGTGAGGTTCGTAGAAATCCAAAAACTTCAAGACAATTCACAAAGATAAAAAAAATAATAAAACAGAGATCACTGGTTTCTAGTCTAATGCAGTGTTATTTTAGCATAATTTATATACTATTTTAGAATTTATAAATATTTAGAATTAGCTTTAATTGATATACTTTCATTTTAATTTTAGTTAGTTTAATTTTAAATGGTTTTGTTATGTGCTTTTGTCAGTTTTATTTTTTTTATGTTTCTATTTTTTCTTTAGTTTAACATTTATATTTATCACTATTTTTCACAACTCTTCATTATTTTCCCCTTTTTTTATAGAATTTATATATTATATTATACACACACATACATATATAATTACATTTTTATATTTTCAATTTGAGTTTTAGTTCAGCTTAAGTTAAGTTTATTTTAGTTGAGATTTTTCTAATTTTTTATGCACTTTTGTCATTTTTATGTTTTTTTTAATATATTTATATTTAGCTTTCATTTGTTTTTATTTTAGTTGCAATTTTAGTAATTTTTACTTTAAGCTTATAATTTTATTTCAGATAGTGGCCAAAACAATATTTCTAAATTTTGTTTATACAATTTATAAAAAATATTTTGAATTAGCTTTTATTTTCATTTTAGTCATTTTGTTATGTGCCTTTGACATTTTTATTATTATTTTAAATAACATCCAAAGCAACATTTCAAACCATCATGTTTCAGTGAGGAGAAAATAATTTTGATCTTAAAAATAATTCACTTGTGTGTAATATTGTAATTTGTTGCATTTACAAAGTAACTATTTTTTAATTTTGACCAAATCAACCTTTCTAATTTTCGCTTTAATAATTTATAAATATTTTATACTTGGAAAAAAAATAGGCTAACGCTAAATAGAAATATAAAAAATTAATAAAAATGACAAAAGCACATATTACTGAAACTTACACTAAAATGGAAACCAAAAATATATAAATCAAATGTGTTGTAGTTTTAGTAATTTTAGTAATTCTATTTAAATTTGTTTCAGTTAGTGGCCAAAGCAACATTTCTAATTTACGTTTATGTTGTTTATAAATATTTTGAACTGAAATATAAATAAAGTGAATTAGAAATATTTTTTGGAAAAAGAACAAAACTAACAAAAATACACACACAAAAAAAAAGAAAAAGTTTAAACTAAAATTAAAATGAAAAAAAAAAAAACTTTATTCCATTTTATATTATTCCAGCTTTATTTCAAAGACAAAGAAAATGATTTTCAATAGTTCCAATTAAACGTTACACTGGTGTAATGTTTGTGTCTTCAGCATGTGGTCTGCTTGACGTATGCTATTTATAAATATTTTGAACTGAAATATAAATAGAGAATTAGAATTTTTTTTTAAATGAACAAAACTAACAAAAATGACAAATACACATAATAATATTACTAAAGTTCAAACTAAAATTAAAATAAAAAAAAAAATACAAATAAAATCTTCATTCCATATTATTTTTATTCCAGCTTTATTTGAATGACTGAAAATGATTTTCAGTAGTTCCAGTTTGTGTCTTCAGCATGACGTACCTGACGTATTCGTGTCCCCATGAGGCGAGCTCCTCCTGTGAGCCCAGCAGACGGTATTTCAGACACTCTCGCTCGCTGCTCATGGTCATGGCGAGAACAGACACCACGTCTGCGCAGAACTGCTGTGAAACAGAGAGAGAGAGACTGTCACGCTGCACACAAACACATGCTGATCACCCTAAGATAACCAGAGGCCCCTGGCCTACAGCATTACAGTAGGTCCCCCTACCCCAGAAATTTAGATTTTTTTTTCTTGTTAATATGCCAGTTAACATTCACAACACTGTTCGGAATAAAATGTGAATAGAAGTGAATATGCAAATTCACTCTTTGCCACAAGGTGGCGCTTGTGGAACATCAGAATTATAGCATTAAACACGTAAACACCATAGACTGTATAAAAACATGGACGTAGTGTCCGTGACGTCACCCGTAGGGTTCCGAAGATAGTTTTTGAAGCTCTAAAGTAGGCGGAGGCGGCCGTCGCCATCTTGGCAGCGCGTCACCGCGTGTCATTCCCGGATAATCGAAGATGGGCAAAGAGGCGGGAGCAGGTTGCTGAAACCACGCCCAAATTTAAACGGATGAGTTATAAAAAATTTTTACCCCCCTCACAGTTGTCATGAAGGGCTAAATTAGCTATATAGACCAAAATCATTTTTTGAACCAGGCTGTAAACATGTTTTTTTCTGCTGTAAAGTTGGGCATTTTAACATGGGGAGTCTATGGGATTGACTCCCTTTTGCAGCCAGTCGATGAATTACAGTTTAAGTCACTTCCTTGTTGGCTTCACCAGAGAGAGCGGGAGGTTGCCGCTCGGTAAACACATATGTTATTACAGGCACTATACGGAGGTTATATATCAAAAGAAAAAGCCATCAAAACTTTCCTGGCTGAAATGTGAGTTTACATGTATGATTTAAACACCATAAATCACACAAAATATTCATTATTCATCATCAGCAGATCGAAACACGGCATGTTGGCAACTTGGCATAAATGTGGGCTGTTTGGTGACTGCTAACTGCGTTTTATTTTGAAACATGCCTTGCTCACGTTTAATTAATTAAATCACAGCCACATAAAGTTTAATGATCACATTTAAGCAATAGGACGATTTTTCCATCCCCGGATTAAAAATTAAGACTTTGAAGCAGAACCTTTGATAATCTGCACGTTAACAAAGACACTCTTGTGCTGAGTTTCTTTACTAGTGCATGCAATGTATGTGCATGTAATGTGGTGGAACACATGGAACATACCAATTATACAAACTGTGTGGGGGGAACCTAAACTGAACCATTCACTACATAGGCTACTACAACCAGTGCGTCGCTGAAAATGAGTGTGTGAGTTTGTTTACAGAATGCTGTTGTCACTGCTGCAAACTCCCATGCAAATAATTACTCGAAAAATATAATTTCCCTGCAGCCAGAGGGCCCCTTTCCAGTGTAGGCCCCTGGGCTTCAGCCCTGTGTCTGACACACACCTTGTTCTCTCCTGGAGCCATGTTCTGGTAGATGTCCTTGAGTTTGGCGTAATGCGGTCGCAGGAACTTGAGCGGTTTGGGCACCGAGGTCATGGAGGTCGTGGAGGAGCGAATCTGACGCCGCAGTTCTTCCAGAGCAGGACGGTACAGAGACGTGTCCTTCTCCTGAGAAACACAGAGAAAACAAGCGTCACATCTGCCTGTTTAGCACCAAAAGAATTAACAGAAAATGCCAGACGGATGCAGTCGTAACATGTTTAATTTCCTTAACATGAGTGAAATAGAATATTCAATAATAATGTAGGTCAGGATGTGACTTTATCCATTAGGATTTGATTGCATTGTGAAAAACGGACAATGATGTTATTGGTAAACTTTTTTTGCATCGGCAATTCATTGTAGAAATGCTTTCATTTTTATATTTTCAGTTTTCCTTTTAAGAACTTTTGTCGTTTTATTATTATTTAAATTTTCTAAATAGTTTCAATTTCTTTTTATTTCAGTTTTAAGAATGTTAGCACTTCAACTTATTTCAGTTAGTTTTTCTATTTCCACTTTTTCTAATTATTTTTTCTTTCAGTTTTAGTCATTTTAATACTTGAACTACAACTTATTTCAGTTAGTTGCCAAGAATGTTTTTTTTTTTTTGTATTTTATTTATTAGGATTAGAATTTATTGTGAAAAACGGACAATGACGTTATAGATAAACTTTATTTTGCATCAGCAAGTAATTTCAGTAATTAAGAAATTACATTCAAAAGAAATAATTCTTAAAAACTATTTTAAGTTCTTTTGTCATTTTATCTTAGTTTATTTTAATTAGCATTTTATCCACCACAATTAGATTTTATTGTGAAAAATGGACAATGACGGTATTGGTAAACATTATTTTGCATCAGCGACCCATTTCATAAATCAAGAAATCAATTACACTTTCATTCATAATTACAAAACAAACAATTCACACAAAATTCAGGATATTTATCTTAATTGTGCTTCTTAATATGTGTCAACATGACATTTCAGAATCAGAATGAGCTTTATTGCCAAGTGTGTTTACACATACGATGAATTTGTTTTCGTGACAGAAGCTTCCGCAGTGCAACTGAATGAGTGACGAGACAAAACAAAACACAGATAATAAAAGAATAAAAATAGAATAAGTAAATAGGGAATAACAATATACAAATAGACAATATTGTACAGGTACATTCCAATAGACAATTTTGTATGTACAGGTAGCCTATATTATTATGTACAGGTAGTGCTGGGCAGTATACCGGTTCATACCGAATACCGGTGTTTATTTTTGTTATGATATGAATTTTTTAAATACCGCAATACCGGTGTATGTCGCTTAAACAACGTTCGATAGGGGTCCCTTTTCACTGTTGCACTGTGGTGAGGGAACAGCTGTATGTGTTACTAAGCCTGAAAGTTCCGAAACCCAGCAAAAACAAACTCCACTTACACCGAGTCTTTCCACGAGCATCTCCAACTCCTCCTGAAGCAGTTTGTCCTCCTCTGACTGCAAAAACAACAACAAATACATCATACAATATCGCACACACATCAGACGTCTACAAACAATGAAAGAGAACTATTTTTAAAACCAGACAAATTACCTTCTCCTCATATTCAATCATATTTACCAACTACATCCATCCATTCATTCAATAAATCCCTGTGTTTACATATTTATATGATATATGAAGCGCATAAATACCCCTGGACTGTCTGCAGGTCCGTTTATTCAGCACGTTAGTCGTATTAACGCGGTGTTACGCACAGACACGGTGTTTTAAAGTGTTTCGCGCTGATATTGATTTATAATCAGTGTGTAGTGATGAATGTGAGTGTGTTTTGTGAATGTGTTGAGAGTCAGGCCTGCAGAGTGACTCAGGCGGAATTCAAACTCAGTCTTAAGCGCCTGTTTTTTTTCTTTCTCTCACCAGCTCCTGGTCCCCTTTCTTCTCCTTGTCTTTCCCCGCCGGTTGTTTGTCCTTCTCCTCCGTGATTTCGGACTGCTTTTTCTCCTTTTTCGCGGTTTCCTCCATGATTTTTCTGCTGCTGTTTCTCTGAACGCGACTCACTACCGCTAACGATGTTTCTTCTTCTGCGGCTGATGCGCGTCACAGTTCTGCAGTACTGCAGCAAATTACCGCCACCCATCGGCCGCACTGAGAACTGCACTCTGTGTATTTTCCATTTCCTGCAGGCCACTGACTGTCCAAGTTACTGTCTCTTATTACAAATATGTATCATTTTTATTGACAAAATAATTCACTAAATTAATTATTGTTATTGTCACCAACTGTAATTCAAATATATTTTTGAGGAAATTCATAACAAAACTCTGAAAGTAACTGAAAGCACAGCATATTTAACTTATACCAGTGTTATTTTAGCATAATTGAGATTCTATTAAAGTTTTTATTAAAATTTAGAATGTAGAATATTTATATTTTTCGTTTTCATTTTCATGTTTACTAGTTTTGCAGTGTTTTTGTTGTTTTTTATTTTAATTTATTTTAGTTTAGTACAAAGTTAAACTAAAGAAAATGAGAAATGTTGACTAAAATTAGAAATTGCAACTAACTAAATATTTGTATTTTATTTAATTTCACTTAAAGTTTATTTTATTCCAGTAAATGACATTTTTATGGTTTTTGACATTTTTTTAATAAGCATCATCATTACTTAATGTGTCACAATAGTTTCTGTCAGTTCTGATTGATTGTATCAGTTTCTAATTTCTGACTAGAATTTCTTAATAACTAAATCAAAAGTTGTCAAAAAGTGCAATAAAGTTCTCAGTGCAGGAAAAACATCTTTTAAAGCAACTGTTAAACTGTTAAAAATTATTCCATATTTGCAAGTTGATGTTTTCACAGTATTGTTTTGATGTATCTAATTCTTACAAGTTTATGTTACCAGTTTATTATCATAATAATATACGACCATTGCTCACACTTTCAGATAAACATCTTTTACCATTTTTTATAAGCTTTTCCCTCTCCAACAGCAGGTGGCTCCAGAGAACCTCAGAAGCAAAAATGAGCACAAATGTGTGTTTGTCTGTATGAATGTGTGTAATGATGGAGTTTGTAGAGCTGCAGAGCTGCTGCATGAATCTCAACTTCAGAATTTGATTCTCTAGTGACCCGAGTTCATCTGTTTAGTGTTCATGACTCTAGATGTGAACTATTTAAAGGAATTGTTCACCCATTTGCTGAAAATATCCTCACCCTCAGGCCATCAGAGATGTAGATGAGTTTGTCTCTTCATCAGATTTGGAGAAATGTAGCATTGCATCAGT